CGACAATATTTTCAGTATAATACTTTTTGAAATGTATTGAGAGTTATTGAAAAGTTAAATAATAAAGGGAAATAAAAAATGATTAGGAATAACAGGCATTCAAGAAAATGATCCTTCGGGTATTAAAATAAGTATATGCTCATTTTACTGGGAAAATATATAGCTAGTTTCTTACTATGCATGAATTATAGATACAGTTGGATATATCTTGCAAGTGGGTCTACGCATAAGCATAGCGTAAAGGTAAAGTAAAGTTAAAAATAATTACAGTTACTGTTAAAGCAGGGATCACACATTACTCATTAATTTAACAGTGACAAGGCTTAAATTAGTTTTTACTGGAAAAGCAAGAACACGGTGCTATATATACACAAGAGGTTATATTTATGGTACACTTATAACAGTTGCTAGGCATAAGAGATGGTAATGGAATTTAGCATTCATCGTTGTTTCAAGCACTCACCTAAAATCATTTACATAATTTACCTTGTTTAACACTGGCCGCCTACAGCATATGAATAAATGAAAATAAAGTTAAAAAAATAAAATAAAAAAATGTTTGTAAATATAAATAGAGATAATATAAACATATGTATATATTCATTCAACAATGTCCGGAAAAAAATGATTGTATTATAATATATATGTCGAGAGAGTGAAATCAAACATGCTCGCTAATAGATAAATTTTTCAAAAATAACCATCTACACTTTTATTTTTCAAATTACATAGATTTAGGTACATTACTATGAAGTATAGTTGCATTTGGCATACTAATAGCAAAAATATCAAGTTTAAAGAGAAAATAATAATTATGGTAATTTTGATCAGACCACCAGGTGGCACTGGTGTTTCTAAAATAATACTATCATGCACCAGAGAGTGTTGCTTCAAATAAACACTTCTGGATATCAGTTTTTGTGAAAGGTGGGTGTGAGGAACCTACCAAAAGGGAGATTGTACAAGACCCTGCCAGGAATGATTAGGTTCAAACCTCTGTAGGGTGTACTTAGGCAGCATAATAAAGGTAGAAAGGAGCACAGCCTGTGCAGGGACGTAATAGCCGCGAGGCAAACAAGGCATTTGCCTTGGGTTGCATTTTCCAGGGGGCGGCAAAAAGAGCCGCCCCCAAATGCCCAGGGCAAATGTCTTGTTAGCCTAGCGGCTAACTAAAAATCCGGTCGGGCAGGAGGCGCTGGCGAGGGAGCACTTTCCCCTGAGCTCTCTGCTCAGCTCCCTCGTGCGCCGCAGAGTGATACCGGTCACCTGACATCATATTCCGGCTCCCAGCATCACTCTATGGCGCGCAAGGGAGCTGTGCAGAGAGCTCAGGGGAAAGTGCTCTCTCGCCAGCGCCGCCCGCCCGACTAGCAGCCCCACTGGACCCCGGGGAAAGGGAGAACCCACCCCAGCATTCCCAAAGGTTGAATTTAAAAAAAAAGGTGAGTGTGTTAATGTGAGTGTGTGTGTCTGTTAGTGTGTGTGTGTTAGTGAGTGTGTGTGTGTCTGTTAGTGAGTGAGTGTCTTTTAGTGAGAGTGTGTGTGTCTGTTAGTGTGTGTGTCTGTTAGTGTGTGTGTGTGTGTCTGTTAGTGTATGTGTGTGTGTCTGTTAGTGTGTGTGTGTATGTCAGGGAGTGTGTCTTTTAGGGAATGTGTTACTATGTGTGTGTCTGTTAGTGAATGTGTGTGTCTGCTAGTGACTGTATGTGTTAGTGAGTGTGTATGTCTCTTAGCTAGTGTATGCGTGTCTGTCAGTGAATGTGTGTGTGTGTGTGTGCATTTAGAAAGCGGGGTGGGGGGGGGGCAGGGGGTGCCTGAGTTTTGTCATGCCTAGGGCAGCACAAAACCAGGATATACCCCT